CTTTGGTTGGTACCCAGAATCTCCTGTATGTGAAGGTAAATTTCTAAGTTTTATGCGTGGGGAAGTAGCATATCTTAATCTCATATTTTAATAAGTTTTAATCTCTATGARCTCTGAAAAAATATCTGTGGTGATATCTATTTCTAGTCTCTAGTGCTATTTTTAAAATAAATAATGTCATTTAAACCAATGTTCTTTTCAGCAATCTTTATTCCATTTAAAGAAACTTAAAGCTTTAAATTAGTTTGTAGAGAGGGAGTATCTTTTAAATATAATACTCAAAAATCTGTATTATCAATGCTAAATCTCTTCTTATAATTAATAACTTTAAAAAATTGGAAATKATTACAGATAGTTGCCCCAAGGGAGCATCTTTGTGAGGGCATTTTCTCCATTGGTTACGTATTTACTGATGTGAAAATTCAATCTCCAAAGTAGTGAGATAGAGAGCAGAAAACTTGGAAGACTATTACCTCAAAGTGAAAATGGAAAATGAGGTCATCTAGTTAGAGCTACTCCAAAAGTGTAATGTCTAAGGTTACATTTCTATCACTGAATTTGTTCAGGCAGGTGGTATGCTTATCTGTCAGAAGACACCAACTTAATAATTACTTAACCATAACTACAATGTCATTTGAAGAAGGTCTTAATCCGGCAAAGGAAATATGAAAAAATAATTGCTCTGATGTTGCAAATGTTGCTATAAAATCAGGTACAAAATATTTAAATAATCATTAGATTATTATATAGGTATGGTGGGAGATGGTATTTGTTGAGGCAACGGGTAATATTTCACAGAAGTGATGGATAATATTTGGACTGGGTCTTAAGAGATAAATAAGAGATTGAGGACTGGGAGGAGGCACAGGTTTTGGTAGCAACCATTTTCTCTGTAGTATAGGAAATAATTCATCATCCACAGGCAGGTAAAAGACATGAAGGTAGAATTTGGAAGAGAGCTGTGAAATTTGAAACAGGAGCTGGGAGAATGAACTAGGTTTCTGACCAGGGCTATGCAATGGGATTGCCTGGAACTATCAGAGTTTCCTAATTGCACTCAGTGAAAACTTTGGCAGTTTTGTCATTTTCCAGTAGGACAAAATAGCATTGGGACAACAGTGGAGAGGAAGATTGTTAGCAAACTGTCTGCAGCATGTTATTTCAAACGTAAGTGGCACAAATATTTAGTGTCTTTTCCTCACCCTTCCCCCTTCCGAACTGGTATGCCAACATGCCTGCTATTTGATAATAAATACTCAGGAGATGTAGTATAGTGGGCTTAATAATGCTTCCCCACTCCCCCCAAAGATACCCACATCCTAATCCCTGAAACCAGTAATGTTACCTTATATGGCAAAAGGAACTTTGCAGATGTGATTAAGGATCTTGAGGTTATCTGCTATTATTCATTTGGACCCTAGATGTGATCACAAGTGTCCTTTTTAAGAAACTGAAAGAAGATTTGACTGCAGAGGARGAAGTAGGCGATTTGAAATGCATAAACAGGCTGGAGTGAACCTGAACCCAGGAATATAGGCAGCCTCCAGAGGGCAGAAAAGCCAAAGTATTGGATCTGCCTTGAAAACCTACCAGAGGAACACAGTCCTCCTGAAACCTCAATTTTAGCTTAGTGAAACTGACTTTGGATTTCTGGCTTCCAGAAGTGTTAGAGAATACATTTCTGCTGTTTTAAACCACTAAATTATGGCAATTTGTTACTGTACCAGTAGTAAACCATTAATAAAGTATTTCATAGTTAGGAACAGATTTAATACAGATAGACACGGGCTCAAGAACAAATGTGTCACCTACTTCATAAGCTTCAGTGTCTTTATCTGTAATATGAGAGAAATAATAGTCCCTACTTAAGAAAATTATTTAGGACCTAAGGAGATAATGAATTTAAAAGGCTTGGTGTTTTATTACTTTACTGGTACATAACAATGTAACCATGAATTCAGCCGCTTCAGATTGAATCCATGCATTAGTCCCAGGTTCTGTAGCTCAGAGTCTGGGTTTGGGTAAACTCACTCCTCTGCATCAGTGTCTAACAAAGCCACAGTGAAGGTGTTGGCTGGGCCTGGAGACTCTCCCAAGGCTTGCCTAGGCAATGATCTTCCAAATTTATTGAGCATGTTGGAAGCATTCAGAGCTTTGCAGGCTGCTGAACTTGAGAGTCTCAGTCTCTTGCTGGCTATTAGCTGGAGGCAACCTTCCTCTCCTTGCCTTGTAGCCTTGTCCATTTGGAAGCTCACAACAAGGCAGCTGTGTCTTCAAAACCAGCAGGGAGAATCTTCCATGAAGAATAGTGTCATAAATTTATGTTGTATAATCACGTATTCATAATCATATACTAATCCATCATGTTTGCTGTATTTGATTGTCCAGAGCAAGTCACAGGTCTCACTGGTGGCTCGGAATATTACATAAGGAAGTAAATGTCAAGAGGTGAGGTCCTAGGGGTGCTCCTAGAACCTGTCTGTCATAGTTTCTATGGTGCCTGATACCATAAAAGCTCTTATTGAATCTTCATTGTTTCTGTTAATTATATGAATAAATATGCTGATATCTTTCCATAAGGAAGAAGACATCGATGTCCTCCTCCACCTCTGCCCCTAAACTCCAAAACTGAAAAGTATTCAACAGCTTATCGTCACGGAGAAATAGTTCRTATACAATGTGAACTTAATTTTCTGATTCAGGGGTCAGAAGAAATACGCTGTGAAAATGGAAAGTGGACAGAACCTCCAAAATGCATTGGTTAGTAACATTGAGTAAACTCACTCTAAAATGAACTATGCATGTGTAGCTAAATGATCCCTTCTCTTCAAATGGTATGTTTCAGAAGAAAAGGAGAAGAGGGTCTGTGAGGAACCACCCTTCGTGGAGAATGGCGCAGCAAACCTATATTCTAAGATTTATTACAGTGGGGATAAAGTGACATACAGATGTGACAGAGGCTATCATATCCGTGGATCAAATGAGATAGCTTGTAATCGTGGAAAATGGACAATTCCCCCTGAGTGTGTTGGTATGTCTGCCACGTTTAACAGTAGCTAGGACTATAGTGCAAGATTTTCSATTCTGTTTATTCTACATACTCATAGCTCAAAACCACTGCTTACAAGGGTTAGAAGTACATTGCTACTATACCTCCTTTGCTACTTTTTGTGTATGTGTGTGTGTGTGTATGTGTGTGTAAGGAGTCATCTTTAGAATTCAAGCCAATGTAAATAACTCAGAAACTAACCAAAAAAAAAAAAAAAAAGGTTTAAATACATTAGTGCTGGGCACGGTTATCTGACTTCTGTGAGCACCATGACCTATGAGCTTAAATACCTACAAACAGGTGAGGATGTGCTTCACTGGAGAAGTAAAGGCTTGTTGGAGAATGACYGTGAGCATGATCTAGTTCCTTTCCCCACATGTCCTATGAAGTTAGGGTCTAGCATTCTGTTTCTGTCTTTAGGTAAGTCCTACTGATATTACTTTTGCATCTGGCCATTATGAACCTTATACCTAAGACAGGTTGCTAATCTTTGCTGAAGAGTACTCCCAGGCTACAGAATCATTCCTAGTTGCTACCCTTCTTGTCATCCTTCCCATTCTTGACCAGATATTGAGGAAAACTCCAAATGTGTTTACCTAGTATATTTACAACAGCTGTAAATGATGCTAAATAAATTTGCAGAGTAAGAGAAAGATTCTAAAGAGAGAAAAATAGACATTTCATCCCTGGGTTAATTGAGAACTGAGGTGAACACAACAAGAAGCAAGAAGAGAGAGGTGCATTGATGCCAAAAGGTGGTTTTAGAATTAACTATAATCTTTAGGTTGAAGAACATCATTTACCTCTCTATACATCTCAGGAATATCTTTACCACAATTCCTTCACAATTAAGAGAAAAGTATGCATACTTTTCTTGCTGTTTGTTTTTACTTAATAAATTTTAAAAATACCTCAGCTGAACAACATTTCATTCATTTCTGATGAACTTAGAAATCAGTTGTCCTAAGTATACATGACTATTGAGATACCATAGTTTGGGTAACAATATTATATTATTATATTGTTATGAGTTTATATTAATTGAAATAACTTTTTCTCTTAGAAAATAATGAGAATTGTAGGCCTCCACCTAATATAACAAATGGGGCTGTGGTTGGTGTGTTATTGCCAAGCTACACAACAGGATCCTCAGTGGAGTATAGATGCAATGAATATTACTTATTGAGGGGATCAAAAATATCTCATTGTGAACAAGGAAGATGGTCATCCCCACCTGTTTGCTTGGGTAAGAAAAAGAAAACACCAAATTTATTTTACTATTATATTTTCTATTTTTGATTTTCTTTAAATATTGTATAGCATAGAAATAATATAATTTCTTTTTTTTCTGACATGTTATCCCCTTCATTTTAGAAACTCTCTAAACAAGTAGAAAATCTCTAACACTGTAGTTGCATTAACATATTAACATTACTTTTTCAAATGTGTAATGCATGCTAAACTTCTTGTAAGTTAAAATATTCATTTAAATAAGTATTAGAATTTTAAACTGTAAAAGCAAGTCACTGTTACTTGCCAAAAACATTTATAAGCAAATTAAACCAAATAGAAGAAAACAGAAAATATCAGTAACTTGTTTGAAACAACTGATATTAGTGATTTAGATAATGAAAAATCTTCTAAGCTTTTTTCTATTCCCATTTAAACACACATACATAACATAAAGATGCTGCCATATTGTGCAGACATTACATATCTTGTTGTTTTTTCACTTRAAAATTTTGTAAACATAGTTGATCTTAACTTCTACATATACATTTGAATGGCTATATAGTATCCCACAGTGCAGGTACATAAAAATTAATTTAATTGATAACTTTATTGCTGGATGTTTAGCATTAAATATATTTACATTCCAAACAGTACATTTTTGTAAATGAATGTTTATACATTTTTAAAAACATTATTTTTCATTTAAAAAGTTAATTAAATATATTTTGACCTTGTTTTAGTTTTCTCTTATTTTTCAGAGTTTCCAAAGTAGAATTTCTAGATAAAAAGATCTGGAAATTAATTTTTTCTTAATTGCCCAAAAAAGAAAAAAAGAAAGTTTATTCTGATTTATAACCCTACCATTAGTGTATTAAAGTAGGAAGTTTTTAATCTTTGTCAACTTTGAGTATTTTAATCTTCAAATTTATTTTTAATTTAATAAGCAAAATTATTTGATTTACTTAAGTATCAGCCAATTTGGCATTTTTTTTTCCATTTTCTAAGTGGCCACAGATTTGTTTTTTTCTACTAGCGATTGTTCATASCCTAGCCATTTTTCAGACTCATAAGGTATATCTACATAAATTAAATGGAGTATTTGAGAATCATGTATACTGCAACCATTTTATTTTACTTTTATTTTTAGTGTTTTAAAATATAGATGCTTAAGTCTTAAGCTTTTAAGCCTTTTGTTCATAGTTCCTGTCTTTCAAGCAAGTCTTAGGATGCTATCCYATTCAAATTCAAATGTATCTTCACCTATAATTTTTCTATTACTCTCATAATTTTATGTTGAGATACTGGATATTAAGTTTCTCATTTTTCGATTGATATTGCATTGAATAGGAGTACAATCATCTTTGAGGACAGAGACTAGATTGAAATAGAAATGGAAAAGATAATAATGAAACAACCTCATAAGGAATAATAAGGCTTAAAGAAATCAGTCATTCAATATCTGGATCAATTGCCTCAAGACATTTAGGCATGATGTTRATGAACTGAGGCAAATAGTGATGATCAGTCACTGTCAGGGCAAGATGAGAGCTTGCATGTCTTGATTTTCCACTGGGATTGCACATGTTATCTCTACAAGTTCACGCAACAGTGTGAAGAGGAACAGACTTTTCTGTCTGAATTATTATTTCAGATGGGAATCTCTATAACCTCTCCCTACTTGTCTTCCTGCTCTCCTCCACTCTAGCGATTCTGGATTCCTTCCTCTTCCTCAGGCTAGGCATGCTCTCAAGGTTGTTCCTCTGTCAGGTACACTATTTCATCAGATAATGACACTTGTCAACCTTCAAGTTTTTCTGCAGATACTTACTTAGGCCCACCTAGCCATCTGACTTGGAATGTAACCTCCGTCCCCCCAGCACYTTTGATAGCTCCTTCCCCCTTCACCCTTTTTCCACCTAATTTCATATGCTGTAGTTTAAGGATAGTTACAAATTATGAAATTCATATAYTWAGTATGTCTATTAATTATTGTGGGAGTTTTGTTTAGCAGGTAAGCTCCACGAGGTCAGGGTTCTTTGTTTTGTTCATTGATATGTAACAAGTGGCAGGTTTTGTATAAATGTTTACACATTAAGTACATTTTCTTTTTTAAGATTATTATTTTATAAAAAAAAGAAATAATGATTAACCTAACTGTTTGATGACCTTAAGCAATATTTTTAATGTTTCAAATTGAGTGGTTTTGATTTATGGTATGTAAATCTATAAAGTCATTTGATAGTAATAAAAGTGTATATTTTGTTATCTTTGTGTGAGGAGCTTTAATAATGATAAATATAAAATGTAAACTCTTGCTTTTGATGCCTGTCATGATTTTCATAGTGGATAGATGAGTAAAGAATTTAAAAGAGCACTTGTTTTTCAGAGCCATGCACCGTGAATGCGGATAACATGAACAGAAATAACATAGAAATGAAGTGGGCCTATGAAGGAAAAATCTTGCATGGAGATTTAATAGATTTTGTATGCAAACAAGGATATGATTTGCCTCCATCAACCCTGTCTGGGTTGTCTGTGCAGTGCAATCGGGGAGAAGTGAAATATCCTTTATGTGTTAGAAAAGGTAAAAATAATAGTACTTTTACACAATTTCTTACCTAACTAATGGATATCAACTACCTTGGTTGAAAGCTTAAAGTTATGAGCATAAGCAATTGGGCACCACATCTTCTAATGTCTAAGTTCAGAGTGTTCCAACTTCTAGTTTTCAATCAGTGCATATACTTAAAAAAAGCCTATACTAACAATTTCATTCCAATAGGTCATTTTTATGAAGGGAAAAAAATAAAAGATTTAATAAACATTACCATACTATCAGTGGATTTTTATGTCAGCGCTCAACAACACTAAAMTATCTTTACTAGGGGTTTTGCTCAGAAAACTACTTGGTGCAGAGTGTGAGAAATTTTGTGTACTCCCTGTAATAGGGACAATTACTTTTAAAAAGAAAAAAAGGAAGATAAAACATATGGAAGGCAAGACTTTAAGAGAGATCTTGTATGCCTTCATTTCAGCTAGATTGAAAGGGAAAAATAAAATACTGTCATAGTTGTAAATATACATTCAAAGTTTATAACATGAAATTCTAACTATAATAGTCAATTTTGAAGTATGACAATGTTGTCAGATATCTTCAATACTTAAAAAATATTTCAGATATTATCTATCTATATTTTTGCAGAATCTAAAGGAATGTGTTCATCTCCTCCACTTATTAAAAATGGAGTGCTTATTAGTTCAGCAGGAGGCATCTATGAGAATGGTTCTTCAATAGAATACAGATGTTTTGATCACCATTTTCTGCAAGGACCTAGGGAGGCCTATTGTGTAGAGGGAGTATGGACTACACCACCATTGTGCTTAGGTATGTAGTACTACATATGCCTCTAGCTAATAAAGTAAAATGACGCATGTTTAGCTTTCAGTCATTTTATGMTGATATGAAACTAATACTTAGTTTGCTGCATTTGTGTTTTTTATTAGTATTTAATCACTGGTTTCTATTCTTTCCCATAGATTTCAAATAACTGTTGTTCAGTTGCTATAATAAACACCTAGTGCAAACCATGCATCAGGTAGTATTGTGGTATTGGCTACAAATTGAATAAGCTATTTTGGTATGGGCAAACATTAGCAATTATGATGAAGTGTGACTGGCACTATAAATTGAAAATATGAACAAGCACAGTAGGGGAATAAAAAAATGGCCATCTCAATATGGAAAGATGAAGCTTATTAATTTCCTTCTTAGCAAGGTATTCCAATAGAAATTACAACATTTACCAAGAATATTAGAAGACATAAAATAGCCATGCTACGCAGGTGCTCTACCACTGAGATACATCTCCAGCCATTTTAAAAATTTACTTTGAGACAGGGTCTCACTAAATTGCCCAGGCTGATGTAGAACTTGAAATCCTCCAGCCTCAGCCTCCCCAAAAGCTGGGATTACAGGCATAAACCATTGTGCCCAACCAATTCTGGCATTTATTTATTTTTCTTATTTCATTGGCTTGGATTTTAGTACAATGTTGAATGGAGCAGGTAATGAATAGTTTTATTTCCCAATCTCATAAGTAAAACTTTTAATAATTCACCTTTAAATGTGGAATTGTAAATAATTTCAAATAGTAGGTTTAAGATATATATCTTCTACTTTAATTTGCTAAGAGTATTTCTAATGATCTTCAAAGGGTGTTTAATAGCTGTTTGAATAATCACAAGATTATTACTTTTTCTGTATATTTCGTGAATTATATTACTTCCTTTTGAATGCTAATGCATGATTGTGTTCTCATAAGAAATTCCAAATAGTTGTGATGAATTATGCTTCTTAAAGGTTGTTGAGTTTTATTTGGTAATATTTTACCTAGGTATTTTGTGCTATTTTCATGTTTTTTTCTTTTCAGTTTTGGTATCAAGTTTCTGTTGACCTCATACAATGAATTGGGAAGCGTTTTTTTTCAATTCTCTGAAAATTCTTTAATAATTTTAAGAACTTACCAAAGAAGTCATGTAACTCTTGAGTTTCCTTTGTAGAAAGATTTTAGTCATAACTTCAATTAGTTCAGTAGGTATTAAGTCATTATCTTTTCCATCCATTTTGGTAGAAAGTGGTGTCTTGGAATTTGTCCACTACATCTAAATTGTCAAATTAGTTGACATAAAGTGACTTGTGACACTCTTTTATCCTYATTTTCATGTTTTTAGGATGTTTCTATTATTATTGCTGCTACTAATATATCTTTCTTGACATGTGTGGCTGAAAGTTTTATTTGTATATAATTAATAAAATTAGCCTGTGAATTTTATTAGTTTTAAAAAGAGTCAATATTTTCATTTAGTGGTCATTTCCTGAAATTTTTCTTGATATTTCACTGTATTTATGCTCTTATCTTCATTATTCCCTCTTTTATACTTTCTTGAGATTCTTTAATTACTATTTTTCTGGCTTATTTAGATGTATACCTTGGTTACTAATATCTGACTTTCATGTTCCTTTTCAGATTTGAATTTAAGGATACAAATTTCACTCTGAATACAACTTTATCTTACACAGTTTGATATTTTGGATTTTCGCTATTATCTAGTTCAAAAGATGTTATAATATCCATTTTGCTATCTTCTGTRCACTCTGAATCATTGAGAAGTTTCTAAGTTCTGAACATTTGGGAGATTTTCTAGTGTTTTTGCAGCTTTTGACTTCTAATTTAGTTCTACTGTGATATGCTTTGAATTTTATCTGTCCTTTGAAATTCACTTATACTTGCTTTATAAGAAGCACATGTTTGTTCCTTTTTCTCTAAAAAAAATTAACTTTGTCATTGTGGGTTGTTAGATGTATGTCAATTGGGTCGAATTTAATTTTTATTTTTTGTAAGTTCATCCATTTCTATTCAATTGTCTTCTTATAAGTTACCAAGAGAAGCATGTCGAATCTCTCTGAGCACCTTGTAGGATTTCTTATTGCTGTTCTATCATTTTTGCTCTTGTGTCTTTACACTGTCGTCTTAGATGTGCCTAATCTGCTTTAGACTAGTCTATTAAGCTCTTAATTTCAGTTATTATCTTCAATTATAGAGTGTCTGCTTCATACTTTCTTTTGGTAAATTCATCTTGTCTAATGAAAGATTCCATCTTGACATCATTTTTTTGACCGTTTTAATTATAGTTATCTTTAAGGCCCAATCTGAAAATTCCAATATCTGAATCACTTTAGAGGAAAGTTTCTATATAACAGACAAATTCCTTACTATTTCTATTAGTAATTAATTAAAAATTGAATATTGTGGAAAATTTTAGGAGCACGAAGTATGTCATCCAACCCACAGAATTCTCATTCTATCCMCTGGCTGAAGGTTATAGTAGGAATAGTCGGTCTCAAACCAAATGGAAATGGAGMTTTCAGTGTTTGCTTTCAGATATTTGGTTGCCCTTAATCACAATATGTAACCCTCCAAGGCTCTTTACTGAGCATTTGGGGATATATCTCCCTATATACTGRTGATGATATAAGTGGGAGACTGYAGATTGCCCAGTGTAGCTTTTAAGTCAATTTTCTAAGCTCCTTAATTCTCTCTTTCTATACCAATCAAGAATCAGCAGCTGCCTCAAGGGAAAAGCCAWTTCAGAGCACCAGGCTCATTTTTATACTCTTCCCCATTCCTCTTACTTCTTGGTTCCTCAAGTCTTGGTTGCTATAGCAACCTCCAAACTCCAATTTTTCTATACTCAACCCTATGAGATTTCTGAAAAGCTCTATTTGCTCTATGCCTGTTAAGATCCATTCTGTACTTGGTCTTTTAACTGAGCTGACAATTAACAAACACCCTAAGAGGAAAATGCACATAAAATGTTGAACTCATCTAAATTAACTTTTCCAGGACTTCAGCTCATTGACTTCCTTGAAGATTCTCTGCTGCCTTGAAATATGTGTTTTTTGCCTGTTTTCATGATTTTCTAATCCTTGGTAGAAGTGCTGGTCTGATATTAGCTACCCATCATAGCAGGAGGTCTATAAATCAACTTTTAATTTATTTTAATTAAAATTTCATTTTTTTTTGTAAAACAGTGACTCCTAAATTATCTAGCTCCACTTCACCTCATTATCAAAACTATTTTATAGTGAATCTAAAGTATTTTTTAAATAATTGTTTCATTTTTATTATCTGTAGCACTCCTAGCCAAACATATAAGCATTCCAAATACTTGAAAAAATATCTGAATAAATATGTTTGTTAATGTATTACAGGTATATTGATATGTTGTGTTATCAACCCTGAATCTTTTTTAAACTTATCTTAGAAGTTACTCTTTAATGTTACATAATCCTGGAGGCAAACAAGGA